ATTTTCGAAGATGCATGAGGTACCAAGTGATACTTGATTGTGCATGTTTTGCATACTATTTTCATCACTTTCTACTCTTGTCATAGGCAGTCCTGGTGTTCTGTAGTTCAGTAGACATTTAAAGGTTGATCATTGTTTTATTTTGGGTGATTCTGATTTTTTTTTTCTTGCATTCACTACAGTAGTTGAAGTAGAATTGCAGAGGTGTTGCTACCCACGATAGGCATGCTGTCCTGGTAGCATGGCAGTCTGCTAGGCACCAATTCTGTCCCAGTTCTCCTACAGAAAGACTTTTCTCTGAAGAACTTTATGGTTCACAGTAATAAATCTAAAATATTTTTGTCTTGCATTTGTATCATTGTAATCTGTATTAAATCAGTGTGAAATCATTAGTTGGTCAAAATGTTCTTCAGTGGCTAAATGATGGAAAATATTTATGGTATCTTTAAATGTGAAAATTATTCTCTATATATATGGCAGTTATCCAGAAGCATTGTTAAACACTCTTCCTGAGCATAGGAGTATTAAAATTTTCAGGATTTTTGCAGAAGGCTTACCGCTGCCTTCAACAGGGTATATTATAGTAATGTAACATTAACGTTGTAGCCTTTCTGGATCATTTTTATATCATTGCCAAAATTAAATGTTCTGCCCCTAACCTGTGATAAATCAGTAATTAATGGTGCATACCAAACAAGCAGGAACTAAAGCACAGAAAGATGTTAACTGCCCCATAGGCTCACAGAGAGATCACAGAACATACTGTTCTCTGCAGTACAGTCCAGTGGTGTCAATTAGTCTTAGACTTTATTGCATTCAACTTCACAGGAATTGGAGTTTAGCAGAGGAATTATGTTACTTCATTTTTGCAAACTTCACAAAAGGGGCTGTTTGAAACCCATTACATGTTATCTTATTGGTTCTGATGGTTATTTTTATGCACCTGTTGATCATTTAGAAAACCCTGTTCTACTGAAAAGCACAGATTGTACACTGCAAATAAAATTTCCTTCTCCGTTATTCTGTTGTTGAGTAAGAACAAAGAGATGTTCTAAGCTATAATTCAATATGAAATGGGGAATTAATAATTTAACAAATTTCAATCAGATTGCATTCCTACTACTTAGGACATCATACAAAATGTTGGTTTGTTTAGCTTTCTAGAAATACAGTAAAATTTCCAGAGTTTCCATACCTAAGCATGGAAAGTGGAATAGTTGTCCCTGTAGGGGCACAATGATGCACATGTTCAGTCTCAACACCCAAAAAGAGAAAATCTAGCATATCACCTACCATGTTATAGTCACTGATACATTGCAACAGGTTTTATCATGAGGGAAGATGTATTTCAAAGAGATGTTCTATGTGTATCTACGTATCTAGTTAAATAATTGTTGGGAGGCTTAAAAGTTTAAACTATTGCACCTTTAGCTTCTCTTAATGCATTTTCCATTCATTGGAATGCACATCTGTCAGAGTATATTTCTTTCCTCCTTAGTTGCAAAATGCTGTCTGCATAGAGTATTAGCTGTGTTAATACAGAGCTGTAGGGATCATTAGCTTCCTTGTCAGGGCTCCAAGTAATCAGAGACACAGTCTCTCCTGTTAGGTGCTCATTGCTACTCCTGTTGGGAAAGGCATTTCAATATGTTACTGCAGGCATTTTTAATACATTAACCTTCCTTTGCTGTTTTGTTGTTTAGGTTTTAGTTTTTTTTTTAATAAAGTGTCCTGTATATGATATCTTTTCTCTGAGTTTTGGAACTGGATTTCTCCTTCTTTATAGTTTACTTGAATCAGGCATTACCCTGATGAATCCTTTAAGTCCAGCAAAAAGGATCAGAATATTGATATAGGGCAGCAGGTCACGAGCCAACTGCTTCCAGTCATAATCTTCCCACCGACTGTGCTGAAACATCAGTTTTATTTTTAGAAGTGCAGCTTTGAGAGAAATAATCATGTTCATATGAGCACATGCCATTTTCATTAAAAAATCGCTAAATATGGTGTTGCATAGAGAAAGGCAAGTGACTTACAGAAGTAGAAAATAAATATTTCTAATCCAAGAACCTATATCCAAGACAAAAATACTTCCAGCATTCTATTGTTCCTGAAAATGATGGTCTAGAGTAAGCAGTGGCAGTGGATAAATCTTGTGAGTGTATAAGTTGATAAGAAAGGAGAAATTTGCCTTGGACTTGAAAGGTGAGATGAGCAGAGATGTTCAAAGTCATCAGATACTGAATGCTGATCCAAGGAAAATAGAGCAGGACATGTTGCATCACTCACTAATGCTTAGAATATTGGAAAATTAATGGTACTTCCGTGCTCTCCCTCTGCAAACCCTCTAAGTTATTAAGCATTTTTGGTGTTTTTTCTGTCTCTTTTTCTTTACAGCTCTTTGAATTTCTGTATCCCTCAGAATACTTAAAAAATATATTAATGGAAAGTCATGAGAATGTGAAGGTTATTATTAGCTCAACTGAAGCAGCAAGAAAATAATAGAATAATCTAGAAGAAGTATCCATCATTACATATTGGAGAAAAGAGCTTAGACTGTGTAGTGGGGGCAAAAATCTCGTTTAGACCAAGTTCCTTTCAGAAGTCTTCAGCAAGACATCTTTTAATATGAATCTGAATAAAGTCAGTTAGTTTATTTTTTTCCCCTTTTCTACAGTACTGAATTCATTATAAAGTGATTTCCTGTTTCAGATTTGGGCAGAATGAAAACAGGTAATCAGAGCTACAAAGACAAGATTAATTGGTGTTAATTTCCAAACATTAGTGTTGGAATTTACTTGGCTTAAAAGGATGGAAAATAAGTTATAATAACAGAATTAAATAAAGTAGATCATTCTTACACACTATAAATGGGGGTAAAATTGGTACAGCAGTAATTTCTGGATTTTTTTTTTATTTTTAAATTTAAAAAATTCTCTTTATGGTTTTGTGACTTGTTTGTCTTATTTCAAAATCACTGACTTGATCTACTGACATGGGAGAGCAGATCTCAGGTTTTTTAAGGCAGACATCTCAAAGCTATGAGTTTGACCAATGTGTGGTGATAGCCTCAAAGTATTTTCCACTGCTTCCATGTGATGAGTGCACCTAAATTAATGTCAGTCTGATGGCTTTTATCATTCAGAAGCTAGTGTAGATCAATACATAATTCTGCCATAAAAATAGCAGACAGAAAAACCAAAACAATTTAATGTCACAGCTGCAATCTTCTTTTGTGCTAATAGAGTTTTGTTGGAATAGCACAGAAAGTGGAGAGAGTCTGAACTCAGGCTTGATACTACTCACATGCTTAGAAATAATGGGAGCTTTAAGAAATCTCATCACCACTACCATCTCCAGGTAGCTTTCTGACCTGTTGAATTTAAAAGTGAAGGAAACGAGGAGAAAGTAAAGCAAGAACTCAAAGAAACAACATGAAGTGCATGCAGAAAGGCCAGGGAAATACAGCAAAGGACCTTATAACTGATGTGGAAGGAAAATGGAACTCCAGCCGTTACATTTACAATTGCAAGGAAGATGCCAAATACTACTTGCAGCGTGATTTGGATGACCTCCAGGAATAACTCTGCAACTTGTAAAAACACAGGAATCTGAAATTATCTAATAAATAAGACCATTTCTTCAGGAATAATATTTCTAAATTTCTAACCTCAGTCTACAGGGAGAGGAAAAATACAGCAACTAATACAACTTTGAAATGTACTTAATGAAACTAAACTATTGTTTGGAAATATCTATTACTTTTTGATTAGATACTGGAGAAGAATATGTAGGGTCCAACTGATGGAAAATAGTGCACAGCTCATAGAGAGGACTGTGTCTGTAGTGGTTGCTATATGAATACTAAGTTTGAAGAAGATGGATAAAAAATGTTACACAGCAACCTGCAGTAATCTGTGGAAAAGTCCTGTGTTAAGTAACAGGATGCTGATGTGATTTCTTCAGAAGAAACCTCTTCTGCTCTAATTTCTCTAAATATGAGAAAATAAATGAATTTCAAATGCATTTGATTGAAAATGAATTCAAGGCTCTAAGCAGTCTACTATAGGGTCCACCTACAGTATCCCATATCTGAAAGGATATCATTTGCCTCAAAGAGGTTTGCTAAACTGAAGTCTGAATTCTGTCCTTGCTTTTAGTCTATACCTGCAGATGCACACTGTGAAGTTTAGATGCATAGACAATGCACTCAAGTAAAATGAAAGAAGGTGCAATTAAAACATACTTTACTCTGTGGAGCAAGCATCCATACCATCCTGCTTTAAGGAAGCGGATCACCTGAGCCTGATGCTCTTAGAGATTCTTGTCCTTTTTATGTGAAGCAAATTAAAATCTATTCAATCTATTCTCAGAGGTTTGAAAATTATATTTAAGGATTAAAATAATATGTCTTCCCATTCTTCCAACACAAATTGCTTTGGCACAGTTGATTTATCTTGATTGATCAATTTTAATAGGTTTGGTGCTGAAAAACAAAAGTGGCAAAAGTCTTAGGTAGCATCTTAAATCACTTTAAATTAATGTGGATATTGTACAGCTACCTTGTGGCTAGACTGATAACTCAGTTACTGTTGCTTTTTACTTACAGAGAATATTTGGTGGGTTTTTTGTGTTATGTTTTTGTTAGTTTTGCTTTTTTTTTTTTCATTTATAAACACTATATTTAGTTTTTATACCTTATGAACTGATATCTTGTCATTATCAATACATGCTGAAGAATTTTGTGTTCCTCGTTGGTAAATCTATTTACGGGCTGTGGGAAGCTGATGTTGCATGAGGAAAGTGGGCTTTTGGATTGTAAAAATTACCACCAGGTGCTGGGTTCAGTAGGGAATGAAAATCCTGCTTCTACTAGCTGGGCATGGAGTGGTGCACGCCTTTGCAGTCTATGAAGGCTGTCTATGTGTGTGTGCCCTATCTGATGGGAGCTGGCATCCCTTGTGACCCCACTTCCTGCTGTGGTTGTGTTTCCCTGTTAGGCTCAGAGTCTTCCAGTAGTGCTGGCTCCTCAGGATCACTGTCACGAATACATCAGCCTCTTCAAAGTGCATCTCTCATCCCTGGGGTAATGGCCAATTCTTCAGGCAGTGTGTCCTACGCAGAGAATGGGATGAGTGGCCAGGTGGCCCCCAGCAACACCAGCTATATAATTCTTCCACTTGAAGCTGCAGGGATACCGCCTGGCAGTATCCTTCTCAGCCCACACACAGGTCAGTACAATTCCCTCCCGCCTGATTCTGCCCTTTGGTGTTTCTGATGCCAGCTGGTGAATCGGCAAATTTCTTGTTTCTAGATATATTTTTCGGGAGGTGCTTTATGCGCAAATATACATTGAAATGATACTTGGCAAATTGTTGTTTTTAAATATGCCGGCAAAGCTAGATTCGATTTCTGAGGTTGTTGTGGCATAGCTGGTGGGAAGTGATACAAGACACTTTTGCTCTATCCCAGACAGGATATCCATCATTCAGCAGTCCTGGTGCTTCCTGGCTCTAAGGGAATTCTCTAAGTTCCCATTAGCATCAATAAGGACAGATGCTCTTGTATATGAAACATGATGAGATATGGTGCAACCAAAATATAACATCACATTCTTCAAGATTGTGCTTAACAGCAGAATTTCAAAAGGCTTAAAGGCTACATTTGAATTTGTGCTTCATAATTAATTTTATGTGAGCTATATGATTAGCAATTGTATTTAAATTGTGAAGTTTGTGATAAGAGAAAGATGTAATTCTTAAATTTCTGATAGTTTTCATCACTGCAGCTCATAAATGAGGCGCTTGCAAGCATGCAAGTGCCATGGGCACTTCAGAAACTCTCCAGTTTGAACTTGAGTGCTTGATGAAAGCTTAAGGTAATTTGTTACCTCCTTGGTCTGGATCATGTTATGTTGTTACTCCCCACTGTATTGTACTATCAGTGTTAAGAATGTTCAGGGAGTTTGAGACTGTGGTGCTTCTTTGGTTATTTGGACTATTCCAGTGACCATGACTAGTTGTGCTGTCAAGCTTAGCTTAGTTATGCTGGGTTTAAAACAAGAAAGTCTGTAGTGGGAGATGAGGGTTAAACTCCAAAATATTTTTTTCGAAGTCCTTAAAAGAACATTCAGGAGCTTTTTCTTTGGGGATTTTTGTTTATAATTTGTATTTTATGTGGATTGCATCCATGTGTTCCACTATTTTGGTGGAAATGCTTAAAGGTTATTTGTGTGTCCACTACTAAGAGTATTTTTTTGGTCATACTTCAGTCAAGAAAGTTGCAGCATTTAAGAAACATATAGCCTTGGTAAACTCTTAAGCCAATCTTACCACAAGTATTTATAGATGGTAGTGTCTGGGGCTGATCAATATGTGTCAGCATATTTAAAATCAAGGAGGAGTTACTGTTTGTTTAGATTCGGCAAGTTTGATGAGTTCTGTCCAGAGAGATGACTTAGTAACTTGCACAAGCTTTTACTCTTCTAGAGCCTTTGCTCTTTAAGTGTACTTTTTTCCAAGCTCATGCATTATTGACATGAGAGGCTAATAATGTCAGCAAGGAAAAGATCCATCCTTATAATCATCTGTTCATTTCAGTTCTGGTAGATGACAGTTCTGTCTGCAACACTGAAATTTCTTGGTCAATATAGAAGACTACATTTTGTGTTCCACTATATGGTCCATTTCCATGCAAAACTCATCAGGCCTAGGCAGGAATCAACTATAATTCAGGTGACAGGACTGAGAAACAAATGAAAGGAATTTATGCTACCTGGAGCCCACAAACAGCTGAGAGGTATTGCTTGTTCCTTGCCAGGCTTGTTCCTGGCAAGGACAGACACTGGAGCTCACCACACTTGAAAGCCAGAAGAGCCATGTAAGAGGAACATCTCCTACATCTGTCTTGTCAATTTAGCAAATTGCAGCAGCTAGTTAATATTTTGCTGGTACATAGGGAGTCTTTTTTTTCTGCTAGAGGTATAATGCCTTTCAATACTGTCACTAGACCAGGGCGCCTTCCCTCCCTGTGTGCCTCTGTTAGCAGATGCATCATTGGGAAACCCATGCATGTTTGTCTGTTTAACATTCAGGGAGCAAGTATTTTTCTGTACTTATTATTTTGTGTTTCTTTCAAACCTTGTCTTTTGTTTCTGTGGCTCCCATGTAAATATATAGATAATAAAGTATTGGAGGGAGCAGATTCTTTAAAAACCTGAAATTCTTGTCTCATTCCTAGCTTCATGCTGCTACCTTGTGCTAGAAGTCAGGCTTAACTTTGGCATCTGCTATGTTTTTCACATGCAGCAAAATACATGCTGCAAAATTGTCACTCTTAGGGCTCAGAATCTTTGCATCTTATTAGGGAAACATTACAAAAGAAGCTCCATGGGGAGGCGATTTAGATTGCTCTTTGACTATCAAAGTGATGGATGCTGTCAGAAACAGATGAAGAGAAGACAGCTGAAAAAAAAGGGAAAAGGGTCTTTGTTTCTTTTAATGAATAGATTTTCTTTCCCTATGTAATACCATTCTTTAGCTCTTTCTTCTCCTCTTGCAGAGTGGCTACTTTCTGTCTTTTTCTCTCTTTTTATCATAATACTGTGTCCTTTAAAGATCTTTCCTACCTTTCACACTACATAGTCACTGACTGTGCAAGCCTCTAATGACATCCAGAGATGCTTTCTATTTCTTCCTGCCCTGATTATAAGTCTGATCCTTCCCAGATGTCGGGAATCCATGCTTTCTTTTCCATATCTGCAGTTTCCTTTATTTTCTCTCCTTGCTTTACCCTTTTCCTTCCCCAAATAGTCAAGCTTCTTACTTGCTTTGGCAAAGAACCATTTATGTGGCTAAGCTCTCCATTTCACTTACTTCATCAGCCTGCTTTACCCATTAATGGATTCTTCTTGACATGTTCTTCCTTAACCCCTCTGACAATTTAAAAGCATCTACTTTTCATTTGCACTCCTTGAAATGACATTGAAATCTTCGCCCTTCTATCAGGGCCACAGTTCATGACTTAGAAATGTCTTCCCCGTTACCTTCTGATATCTCCTTTTCACTTCCGATTTCAAGATTTCTTCATGAGAAGTCTTCTCTTCTTTTATCTTTAAAAGTGTTGCTGGGATCTTTTACATACAATTCTGTCATCTTTCATTAAGCTACAGGAAATGCTCCTTATTAGCTTGCCTTTGAGCGTCTGACACAGGCTTTGGGAACATGTTATTCTGCTCACTCAGTCTTCTTAAGTACTTCTGGGCTTGAGATTCCCAAAGCTTGGGACTCCATGCCATAGTCACCCAGGAGGTTCACAGCAATAATCAGGAAATCAGTAGACAGAACTGCCCTGTGCTTCTTTTCCACTCTCTCTTGACCTTTGTCAGCATGAATGTGGTGTTGAGTTCATGCAGAAACTTGCTGCTTTAGAGAGAGAGAAGGCAAGGTTCTTTAGCCAGTGCTCTTCATGCATTCCTGACCATGATTCATTGGAGGGAGAAACTAGAAGGCTGAGGAATAGATGGAACAGGTAGAGATGCTTTGTAGGATACAAATCATTATTTCACCATTGTTCTAAGTCCCTGAACTCCGCCAGATCTCTCTTTTTATCTCAGATATTCATACTTTAGTTACCTACTTTAGAAGTTATCACATCATTGCTAAAATTGCTCTTCTTTTTCTCACAGAAGAATTTATAATTCCTTTGGTTTACAGATTTAGGGTGGAAGTGAAAAGAGAACTGAGTTCATGGAAATTATTTTCCTACTGAGAAGTAGAATTCCTTTTTTGTTTTCAAGACAATTACTTGGGTAGACTTATTATTTTAAACAAACATTGTTTTTTCAAGGTTACTTCCCCCAGCTTGGGTTAATTCCCTCAGTTTAATTATCTGAAGCAAAATGGGTTCATTAACTTAGTAGAACTCAAAACAAAATTTGTATAGAAGAGATTCTTGAATACACCTTAGGTGTTGCTTCCTTGAAAACTGGAGTGCTAGCTCCTATAAATACATAGGCACAGCTCTCAAAAGTACAGCTCTGTGTTATTAGAATGTAGTGTGTAAGTAAATTAGTAACAAGTGTGGGTTTGTTTTTCTCCTCTTTCCTACAAACTATATTCTTGTGAAGTAGTTGTGTGCATTTGACTGCTGTTGTATGAGAGGAAAGAGTAAGGGAACATTCTCTACCTTCAGTGTTTGCTCCAAAGTTCAACTTTAATGTTAATTGATTCATCATTGCATGATTTCAAGTAACCATAGCATCTGAATCATCTTATAGCCATGGTAACTTTCCACCCATTCCTTGGAAAATCATACTGCTGAAACAAATATCTGCTATCTTGCCTGAAAAAAAATAAAAACTGTCTGATACTGTAATTACGGTAATGAGATATTGAGAGTGATGAACACTTTACTCTTGTAGCAGGTTGGCTAAAGAGCAATCAGTTAAAGCAAAATTGTTTACTTTCACACAGAAAACAGTCTATTCTTAAAAGTTTCCAGCAAGAGCCAGGTGTTTTATTTCAGGTCAACCATTTGTAAATCCTGATGGAACGCCGGCAATATACAATCCTCCCAGTGGCCAGCAGACAATGAGGAGCCAGGTGGTGGGACAGTCTCAGCAGCAGCCTTCACCCCAGCAACCTCAGCAGGTTCAACAGCCACAGCAGCAAATAGCAAGTCATCTTGTCACACAGGTAGGTGTGGTGTCATTAGAAAAAAGGAGGAGCTCTTGGGGATATGAAGAATGACCTAGAGGAAAGAAGGGAGGAATGGCTAGACCAAATATCAGGTTGTTCTTTTCAATATGGATAAAACAGATGGAGAGGGAAGATTACATCTTCATTTTTATCTAAAGGATGATTTCATTTTCAAAATACTGTTAAGTGTGTTGGTGCATAAAATTATTCTGCAAAAGTCACCCATTAGTGGAAGCTGAAGCATTCATTCTCGAATCAGTGCAGTCTGTAATTCTCTCCAAAAATCCAGGGACATTTCTCTTTTGACAACAATGGGTTTGAGTCAAAGAATAAAGTGCAACAAAAGCTCTACAAACCCTTTCATATTCAGTTGTATTGGGCCAAATCCATGGAATGTTTTCCAAGTACTTTTGCTCCAGATTGGTGGTTTTCTGCCTGCACCAATATTCTGGCCATGACCCTGCTCTGAGCTAGAAGTTCTGGAGCTACAGCAGGAAGAGAAATTTTGTCTGAGCACAGTGCAATGGCATGTTGGCTCTCTGGTCCCTGCGCTGGCTGTGGCGTATGGCCAGACATGGCTGAGCATGGGCAGCAGGGTTTGGGTTTGGTTCAAACTTAATTTTGTGGATTGCATGCCTGTTCTCCCAGGGTAGAGCAGGCAGAGGGAGCTACCCTAGCAAGAATTCTGTATAATGCTTAGTCACAGGGCAGCCAAGATCTACTGTGGTTCTCTTGTGTAACTTTATAATTTGGCACAGCTTCATCCTAGGTTACACAGAAATACAGTGTTTGAATTCAGTGAAGTTGCTTTGGTTTTACTGGGTTTGGACTTACATGGTTATGTGGTTATGGCTCTTACTTCTTGATCTAGTCTTCCCAGTTTTAGAAGACAGAGATAGTACCAAGTCTGTAAGACGTTATATGAGAAGCTAAAATGAAAGGAATACTAAAGCTATTCCAAGGTAATAGTGCTGTGGAAAACCGTTTTCTACGCTTAGATAAACATCTTCTCAAAGCTGATGGCCTGTCTGTTGGTAATTTACAGCCTGTTCTTTGTCATTTTTTTTAACTCTTGTGTTCTCCCAAAGCAGCTTTACAATCAATTATTCCTTTGCCTATGACATACTTGGAGTTAAATCAGTCACTAACAGCGAAATTGAAATATACACTTACAGTATGCTGCTTTCCATTTTTATATTTGTAAATTAAATGTAGAATCATAATTTGGCTTTGCCTCACATTACAAGTAAGAAGGTATAGCTGTGGCTATATTTAGTCTAATAGCCATTAAATCCATGAAAAGAGACAGAAATATCAGTAATAAATAATTGTTTGGTATAAGGCTAAAATGAAGACTAAAATCACAATACACTTGTACTCAGGCTGGAGATGAGTCACCTGTATTTTCAGAGCTGTGTTTGAGATCTTTGTTCTCAATAACAAAGGTGGTGGTGGTGGTGGTGCTTGTTATCTTTCTCTGGTGGAATTTATTGTCTTTCCCTTTGCTTGTTTTGCAGCCTGTTCAGACAGTGCAGCCATCTTCTCAGTCAGTCCAATATCCAGCAGTTTCTTATCCTCCCCAGCATCTCCTGCCAGTCTCCCCAGCGCAGCAGTTTTCTGTGGTACTAAAGATTTCTTATTTCTTCTTCTTTCCTTGAAGTTGGAGGTGTGAGTATGTGTGTCCAAGAGCCTCTGGGGAGCACTGCAACAGTTGTCCCACATGAGAACCCTGTCTAAATACCTGTTAACCTTTATGCTTTAGTACTAACAGGCATTTTATATGAGCATTCCCACTGATTCTGGTTACCTAGCCTGAAGGGTGATGTTAGAGCAAGGCTCTCTACCTGCTTGGCAGACCCTCCAGAAAAATATTTTGTTGGGCCTGCTGGTAGGAGTTTATGTCTTCTTGCTTAATACCAAGTGACCGTGAATTGCTAACTTGAATAGTTGAGATTTGGGTTATCCCACTTTCATGTCCACAAAGACAGGATAAGAGACCTTTAGAAATCATTGTTTTTTATTTTATATTATTTTATCTATGTACTAAATCCACTGCCTGGATTTATTCTTTGATGATATCAGAGGACTTGGGAAGCAGAGTAGCAGTGAACCAGCTGCAGAAGGATTGGTGTGCCTCATGACAATGCACCAATGCATGTATATAATGAAAATAAATAGAGTGTTCTGGAGTCTGATTCTGGTTTGGTGCTTACAGGGCTAAGATTATACTGTTCTAAAATGAAGCTGACATTTTAGAGAGGCACTATGAGATTTTTTTCTGTTGTTTTTCTCTCTTGCTCTAGTAATCTTCTTTATGATTGATTATTTTTTTCCCAATGTCACATAGTTATAATAAGATATGGAAACAAAGCTCAATGGATCCTTGCAGATAAAATAACGTTACTAATGACTAGTAGGTGATTGATACCATTTAAAGGAAAATAAATATTCTATGCTGAACAAAAGTTGCATATCTCAATGAATTTTTCTCTTTTAAAGTCTGTAGTAGGAATACCAGGTTGCCCTAGTGACAGTCACACGAAGGCTATTAATTTTATTGGTTAATTTAATAGCACAACTTCAGCTGAGTTACTATCTTCAGTATACATTACATTATACAAACACTATATAGATTATATATGTTTGAAGATGTTTTTCTCTTTTGTGAAAATCTAGAGGCATTCCTGGTTCAGTGAAGTTTCTTGTAGAATCTATTTGCAGTCATTTGCTATTCTGCTAATGAATATCCTAGCTTTTAAAAGGAACAGTGTCACAGAGACAACTCATGTGTCTGAATATGAATGTAGGGTGATGGTAAAGTTAACAGCCTTACTTCTGTACACCACGTGATGATCTGTCAGTATTGTTTAAAACATTGATCCATTACATCTGCTGTCAGTTGTGAGGGTGAGTCTCTGTATGTGAGAGTGAGTACCAGCAGTGCTTCCACAAGCAAACTTTTTATTTTGTTTTGTTTTGTTTTGTTTCAATTTTAACACATTTTTAAGTTTCCAGACATCAAATGCATTGTTCAGGATGATTTTGGAAAGTAAATACCACAAGGCTGCTAACAATATTAAAAGACTTCTTTTAAAAAATAGTATGGATGTTCTGAGCAAAAAGCATTTTTACAGTGCTTATTTCCTATCTGTAATCGGCATATTAGGACACAATGGACTTTTATGTTGATTATTTAAAAGTCTTAGGATATGGGCACAAATGAAGATGCCTAGAACCACACCCACACTTGTAAATCTTTGACCTTCACAGAATGAACTTGAGAGCATTGAATAGTATGAATATTTTTGCAAGAACTAACAGACACAGTTCAGAATGCCTCTGTTATTACTAGCATGTAATGAAACTTAAGTCCATTGACTTTATAGGGTATTTTAAAGCTACCACAGATATTTTTTTTCTTTCCCCCTTCAGTCAAATATAGAACTTGTTTCTCTCCAACACAGAAAACAATGCCTTGAAATAGCAACATTAGGATTAGCACTTTTTTTTACTTTCTCCATGTTTACAATCTTGGATTTTCAAAGCAGTCCAGCAAGGGAAAGATCTGCAGCTGAATCCTACTGAATTCCTCTTGGGATCCATTTGAAACATAGGTGAAATTGCCAGCATGTGTTTGGCTGCAAATTCTGTGTTTGAGGATATAGGTATCTATAATGTTATTTTAATGCCCTTTACATTTAAAATGTCTTCTTTTGAACACTGTAAACTTCACTTGTCATTTTGGAATTAAAGGTGAGGATGGCAGGGGAGAGGAAAAATAATTGGCTTTTTTGCCAAATGATGCCATTCACTTTTCAGTCTGGGTGTCTTTGTCAAAGCATTTATAGTCATTTTCATTTCAATTGCCCCCATTTTTGTAGATCTCCTTGCAAAGTTTGGCAAGGATTGGAGCTGAGTGATTCTTTCCTCCCGTTCTGAACCTATTTTATTTTGCTAATTCATGTGCCTGCTGCAGGCATCATGTCTATATCCTCTCCTCCTGCCTTCTGCCCCACAGCGAGATGACATGGCCGCACAGTTTAACCAGATGAGCTTAAGTCGTCAATCATCAGGAGACAACCCTGAGTCGCCTTCTGGCCCCGTGTACCCCTCGCCAATCCTGCAACAGCCTGCCCAGCAGACAGGTTACATCATGGCCTCCCCGAGCCAGCAGCTTCCCCCAGGAGGCTTCACGGGTTCTGGACCACCAGTGTCCCAGCAGGTGCTGCAGCCACCACCACCGCCCCAGGGCTTCATGCAACAGCCACCGCCACCTGCTCAGGTAGGCAAAACCTTCACTGCCACTTTGGCACGATGCCCTTTATAACATCAGGAAGGGAATATAAATTCCAGATATTTTTTATTTTTCCCCTGGTAAAAGTTTAGCAGATCTTTAGGCAGCAGGACACTTGCAAAGCCTCTGTCATTTCCTGGGTTTCATCATTTCCTTCCCTCTCCTCAAAACGTTTTCCTAACGTATGTTTGTACTCCATGATGTATCTGCACGTGAATATGAAGGAGGAGGGTGAGTAAATGCCCACACTCCTTTTTCCCTGTGCATGTACCAAAAGAACAAAATACACATCAGCCCAGGTAGTTGTTAATCATATTTAATTGACTTGAACATATGAGGTGTCACAGATCAGTCATTTTAGCTGTCTTCCTGAAGAATGATTATGTTTTACTGTTCACTACCAAACATCTCTGCTTGTCTCCTGGGTACCTTTACAGAATATTGAAAGTGATTACTGTCAAGAAGTAAAATGCACAGATGACTTTCTGGCCAATTTTCAAGACATACGCAATAAAAGGACAAATTTCTTTATCCAATTATAAATGAATTCATTTAAATTCTACTTTAAATGGTATTTATAGCATTTCTCTTGTTTTCATTTTATTCTTTGGAAGAAAAAATGTAAAAAAAGTACAAAACTTCACAATTTATTTTAATGTAACTATTGTAAACCCTGTTGGAAGGGGTTGTTTGATTGGTTTTTGCTTACTATTTCTCATTGAAAATCTCCACTTGTGTTTATTAAAGGAGTTTGGTATTGACATAGGAATGGAGGATTTTTACTGTTACAGTGTTTTAAGTGGGCTAAGGATTTAGTTAATTAGATCACTAATTAACAATAAAAGAAATCTGAGGACTACAGGATGCTGACATCCTATACAGGACTATGCAATCCATAATTTCTGTGGTTAAAAAATGTGCAGCTATTTTTTCTGAAAGAAGGCTTGTCAAAAGCAAGTTTGAAGGAGCTGAAGTTCAATATAATGTGATTTCTTTTACAAAAAAATTGAAAATACTGCTAGAAAAATATTTCACAATTTGCCAGATGTAGCAGGTTTGATATTATTTTAAAATTTGGAGAAAAAAATTACCTAATTCCCTGATGAATCCATCTTCCCATCTAGGTTGTGTCTCCTAAGTAAAGACAGTCCAGGCTTAGTCCTCATGTACAACTCCCAGGTACCCTCATTTTTTCCTAGCATCATTTAATTCAACCTCACAACACTTCTAGTGAACTAGGTAAATGTGAGCACCTCCATCTTACAGGCTGCCACCACAGCAGGCAGTGATGTTTCCCAGCTCTGCCAGCCAGGGTTTGCTGTGGAAGTTGAGTGAGCTGCAGGATGATGCTGAGAGAGACCCTGCACCGCCTCCTCACCTCCTCGGGTGAGGCCAGATCTTCAGCTCACCCTGGGGTCTCTGCTAAACCCACCATTGGCTGCTTTGGGCGAGTGTGCCCACTGCTCATGCTGCTGGCTGAGCCTTGCTGTGGGAGCATTAGATTTCACCCCTGCACGCACAGGAGGGCGCAGGATTTTCACTCAGCATGCTGTAGCTTTGCTTGGTGAAGCTCTTTTCCAAGTTAATCCTTGTATTGGTTCTACTGAGGAGCAGATTAACTTCTTCACAGGCCAAGTGATGAGGAGGTGCCTTTTCACATACAGGCTGCTGTAGGACCAGTAGAGTACTGGTGCATCTAATAGTCACTTTGTCCATACCCCAACTGCTTTCCTCCTATATTTTAACAAAGTGGAAAGTTACTCAGAGCAGAAAAATATCTTTTGGCTTTGCAACAACTTCAGTTATTTCACTGGGGAATGGTTTGTCCTCGGGAGGAGGTATAGAAAGGTGAGAAATTCAGTGCTGTCAGCTTCCTCTGCTTCTGCAGAAAACACCCGCCTCCAGCTTGTTGCTGTTCCAAAAAAATCTTTGTCAGATACCTGGAAGAGGGCAAGACAGAGTTTAGTGTCTATACTATCATTTGAAAGCATAGTGGTCTTGGTCTGCCAGAAGGGAGAGAGGGCAACGACTCTCCACATCTGCATGCACAGATGGGAGCTTCTGATTTACATTTCAAGTTTTAATTTATTCACTTCAGTCCTAGAAAGTGATTTGGATACTACATACAGCACACGTATGGCAAATAGGGGATCCTCTTATGACAAGATAAGGTGAATCCTTGGGAAACAGTAGTTCTTCTGTCCTGAGAGCTTAGCTTTCTGTACATGGCAAGTAGATCCCAAATCCTTGTCCTGCCCGTGGCACAGCTTCACTGTGGTAGTGGCTATTGTCAGTCTGAGTCAGCTGTTGTTACTCTTTGGGGCTTAGATGCAATGATAAGGCTGCTCTCAGACACCACAGCAGGTGGTCTGAAGCAGACTCTGGGAAAAAAAAAGAAAGCAATAAAAATGTTAATGGAAGCAAAACATTATGTGAGGCATTAATCAATGCAATGCAATCAATGTAAAAGCACTTTTGTGTCTTAAATGTTGCTGTTGAATTTATACCAGTATAAAAGAGGCATGACTTAATGGCTAATTAACTCCTGTAAATGCACTGCTGGTAAGGGTGGATATGATACCTATGGCAGCAGCGGAGCAGCGCGGCACCGGCGGGAAGGAGCCGGTGGGCACGGGGTGCGCGCTGGTGCCGCGACCTTCCAGAGAAGCATCGTTAGAAAGACGTCCTGGTGGTTACAGGCACGTTCCCGCTCTCGGGAGGAGAGTGATTTCAGCTCTCTTGTGTGAGCCCCGCTTCTGCCGACAGTGGAGAGAGGGACGGGAGCCACGTGTGGTGATCCAAGGCGGAATTTATTCCTTCTCGAAGGGTCCAGGGACGAAATGGCTCGAGGGGGCAGAGGGAGCAGGCTTGATATAGGAGAGCCAGGGGTCGGGGTAGAACAACTAACGAATCATCTGAAGGCACAGGGGCAGTACAAAGGGGCAAGGACCAATAGATTACAAACATTTTACATGAAACACTCATGCTAGGGGAAACATTATAACCATTATGAGGAGGGAGTGCACAAGGGCATTCCCTCCATGGGAGAGAGGCAGGCTCTTTCTCTGCGGGGCTTTCAGCCTGCACAGATATCCTGTGTGGTGTTGAAAAATACCAGTGAAAACTTGGTGGAGATCCTGGGAGTATGATCATTTCCTTTGGGAGTTGAAAGGAGGAGAAAGAAGTTCCTCAAGCCTACATACCCAATGGCACTGCATTTAAATTACTAGCTTTTTATTAAAGTTCTGTTAAATGTGGCTCTACAGCTGCTCTCCAAGATTCTTTATCCCAGTCTGTATTAAAGCAGAAGCAGAATGAGTTTGAAGTGACATGCTTAAGAAGTGGTGAAAGTGGGTTTGTTTGTGCTTCTTCTTTCCTCACGGGTATTCCCCAACTTGACAACAAAGTCATCATTTAATAAACTGAAAATAAGGATTTCTCTTTGTTCAGCCAATTAGAAAAAAGAAAACAAAAAACAGGAAAAACGTTACCTGGGGTTTTCTGAAAGGGATTTTTAGCAGCAAGTGCCTGTTTGCTTTCTCTCATGAGTGTTGAACATATATATCTTTGCTTTCTTTATTTTCAATTTCCTTTTCTTCCTGATAGTTTTTTCTGTAGCACTTATGGACCAAACACTTTAACAGGGGTCCACATTCTGCTTTGTACTACTTTATCAATGATGCCTGTCTTTGCCTCTGTAATTGAAGAAGTGGAGAAAAAGCAAGTATTATGTCAATGGGAAAGGATATTCCCCCCCTTAAAAGTTATTTTCACCTCTGACTCATTCTTTCTGGAAGATATACTGGCAAAATTATATCCAAAAGTGAGATTGCATGAATTCTTGGAGAGGCCTGGAGATGTAATTAACGTGTTGAGGGATTTTTCATCTGAATTAACTTAGTGTCATCATTAATTTTGTGTCATCTTCAATCATCTATGTCTTTGCAGAAGCCCTCTCCTTTAGAGTCTATAATGACCCTAAGACAAAGTCTTTACTCATAGCATATCTCCTCTAGAAAACTTGTTATGAAGAAGGTTGGGGAGGCACTGCAAATGAGCAGGCCTTTCCTTGATGATCTTTGAAAATTATATTGGAGGACATCTTATAATGCATTATTTTTTGTTACCTGCTACTGTAATTATTATGGAGGGGGCAGGGAGGAAAAGACCTTGAAGAATGACAAATCCCTGTCAGTTAGGTATTGGGAAGAAATGGCACCTTCATGTGTCCTTGTGTGACTGGGGTTTCTCTTGTCTTCTTCACTCCCATTTATGTGCCTGTATCAGTTGAATTACCAATGGTGTTAGCATCTGGATGAAGGTGCTAGTCTAAACCTTTCTGGATATCAACAGTGTTAAGAGGTAGAGTACCAGTCTGGTGGCTGAATCAAGATGTAAACTAGTAGGGAGGCAGTTTATGAAAGTAAAATCATCCTGAAGTATATGTAGAGTTCTGATCCTGCCATGAGGAAATGAACAATGTACCAGTGAATTTCATGGGTGCTGCTGGAGAGGACCCAGAGAGACATCCAGCCTCATAATGGGCTCCAGACTGTATGTGGACAGAACAAAGCAGAAAGTCCATGCTGCAGTGAGTCTGTGTGTATCATCTAGGAACAAAGCACATTAGAAAGAGGAAAAAGTAATGTCTGACTGTGCCATTTCATGAGTGTCTCTGAAGTGACATGCCAAGTCCTGTTACAATTTAAGTTAAAGTGTTGTTTAGGAGAAAAAAACGAGAATACAGTGGAATGGTCAGCCTACAAACAAAGTAATTGTTAAAAATAATACAAAAAAAAATTTTCACAGCATCAAGGATTAAGATTGAAAAACTGTGCTTTTAGACTAAAGAGGGTGGCATTTATTTAGGTTATGGTCTTAGAAGTGTGTTTTTTTGGTAAATTTCTTTTATTTTTAGGGTAACCATATAGCTTCATTGGCATGCTAGTTAGTGCCATGGAAACCTTCTGGTTCTGTAGATAAAATGTTTTACAAGCAAAAGATTGAAGGTTGAATTGTGCTTTTCACATGGGAATGCAACTCAAGTATAATTTGGCATGTTGGTTGGCCGCTACAGAAATGTAATGCTTTTTGTTGAAGAGCACATAAGTAAACGTTTTAGTAACACTGATGTGATGAGAAACTAAAAAATTCAAGAGGATCAGAGTACATTATGTAAGTGATACTCATTATCTCTGATCTCTCTAATTCCACTGCTCACCAGAGTAGAATCAGGATGGAAAAATAACTGACACAGAGATGTTCTCAAGATTAATGAGAATGGATCCTTCCAAGCCCCTCAAGCATAAAAGACCTGTTTTACACCATGTCTATATTTTACACCAAGCCCTTCTCTTAATGTGTGAGCTTTAAAAAAAAAAACAAACCTGACCCCCACCAAATAAAAAATGAACAAACAAAAACGAAAAATGGCAACAAAACACAGACACACAAAAAATCAAAACACAAAACCTACCAAAAGCCAAACCTCTTGTTTTCATGTCATGTGTGCATGAGTACTGTCTAATTCTTCAATTAATCATTATAAGTGAAAAAAAATTTTACCCTTCTACTACTAACATTTTTTTCATGCTAATAGACTGCACTCTCAAAAACTTTTAAGTGGGTTGTATAACAAATGTACTCCAATGAATTGAGGAAATGAGAGCAAGGGAGACAACCCTGTGACTAATACTGAGGTTTTATGTGTGTGGTAAAAATAAAAAGTCTGTGCTTCAGTTTATGTATTTGTGCTCAGCATGTTCAACTATAAACCTGACTTCAAAACTTAGATTCTTCAGGTATTGTTTCAAGGTTAATACCTACAGAATAATTCCCCAAGAGATAATTCTCATCGTTGTCAAATACTCATGTATTTTTAAATATCTAAGGGCTTGTCTACACTGGAATTAGGAAGTTGAGGGTAGATCAAATAAATCCTTTAAGTGAGATTAAGTTGCTGGCAAGATAAGTGAGAGTATTTCCACAGTGGTTTAATATTCTTCAGTTTGTTATATGTTAATAGAAAATAAAGAATACTTAAAAGAATGTCTGTTCTGTTCCCCTGATCCAAGGCTGGATCAACTATTTGCATTGACTTGACTTAGAGTGGGTGTCCTCATTTCTTTCAAGCCTCCTGTAGTTGAGTGTTGCTGAGAACAATCAGCTGTCCACGACATGAGTTTATCACAATAAACTTTCCTGATACACAGTTTATACTGCTTAAAGAATGATTTTGCACCTTAAATGTGGGGGGCCACTTTCCTATTCCTTGTGGCTTTTCTTTGCAGAGAAACAAATTCATAATGGTGGTGTCCATTCTATAAAAGCATTTTGATTTTGTTACATTAGTCACTAACAAAACAAATGGCTGGAGGTCAGGCAGTAGCCATTAGATTTCACTTGGTATGGTCTGGAGGGAGGGTAGTTTACAGCATTTTCCAGTCAAAACCTTGTTTTTTCTCATACTTGTTTGAATCAGGTTGATATAAGCAGAGAAAGGGGGAAAAAATCAATTGATTGAAAAGAAAATTAATAGACCTTGAAGAATTAATGGGTGTTCAGCCTCTTGATTGACAGATGCTGTTGACTGTCAGTCTGTGGGGTTAACTTCACCAACACCACCCAGTCCATCTTTGTTAATCCTAATCCTTCTCCCACCACAGTTACCATTCAGTAGGCTTCTACTTGCTTGAGTAGCAATCCATAGCCTAGTCTTGCCTGGTCTTTTTTTCCCCCATCTGAAATTGGAAATTTTCCAAGGAAAATTTCTGATCTCTTTTATGATGTCCTAGCAATAGTTAACCTTTATTCTGCTAACGTTATAGATGATCAAGTTGAATGATCTGTATCAGGCATATTTCTTCCATGCAAATAAAACTGGCAAAAATAGTTCTCGATTTACATGAAAAAAAAAAAAAAAGCATTTGATCTGACTCTATGCATATGTCTATTTAGGATAAATGCTTTGCACAAAGTGAGAAAAAAATTGTATGATTTATTAAGAAATGCTGACAGCTGTGGCAGAAGTTGTGAGAGAAGCAATGTTCTCCCAAGCCTGTGTGCCTCTGCAGTCTGTTCATAACATACATTGCCAAACTCTATCAGATGCCTACAGTATCCCTGACAGCTGAAAATGAAAAATTTTGAGTGCTTTGAACTTGTGAAGGGTCAGTTGAAAACTGTTTAGCTCAAATGTCTCAGTAACAGTGGTGTGGCCTGTATAGGAAAAATCTTTTGCTCCAGTCACCCTCAACCTTTCATGTTCACCTGTATGATAAGATGTAGTACACGTTTCTTTGTAATGACAATAATAATAGAAGAAAAAGAAGCCCATCTAGCAGAACTTGCTGACTTAAGGCCTGCCCTCAGCTCCTGCAAGAAAACAGCTGATTATTCTTTGAACTGTAATTGTTTTCACACCAAGAACAAGAAAGGCTTTAGAAGGAAATGTTCATGTAAGAAGGGATGTACCTGTTAAACATAATCATCAATCTGATAATTTCCTTAAAAGTGTTAAGGGTGCACACCCTCTATCTTGCTCTCCACCTTGTTTCTACATATTTGTACTCCAGACCATTCCTTGCTTTGACTGGACCATTTTCTTCAAAGTTTCTTTAATGGTGCAACATGCTGTCTGTATGTGTTATGTTGATAAAGACAGGGTTGTTTGCATCCATTTTTCTGCAGCTTTGGATATTTTACTGTGATAAAATGTTACTGTGATGTTTTTTCTTTGGTATATACGTGTAGCTTTTAATGAATCCTATGGTTTTTTTCTCCTTCAGTTATTTTTTTTCGTATTTCTTAAAGTATCTGAAAATAAATGTGGGCACTGATAGCCCTTTTCCTAGCACGGCTGAAAGAAAGCAGCAGTTCTTGAAGAGACAGGAGGCAAACCTCTTTTCTTGTTGCCATTACCACTAATGTACTTGTCTTGAACTCTTGCTCCCCCTCCCTGTTTTGTTCTATTTTATGAATCTTTGGTCTCTAGAGTTTACTGTTCTCTTTCTTTGCAGATGCCAGTGTATTATTACCCATCTGGTCAGTACCCTACCTCAACAACTCAGCAGTACAGACCCATTGCCTCAGTTCAGTACAACGCGCAGCGGAGTCAACAGATCCCCCAGACTGCCCAGCAAGCAGGTATGTGCATCTGGTACTCATTTCTTCAGCTGCTCGCAGTGCTTTTGCAGGCGAAACCTGTTGGTTGTGCTCTAATTGAATAGCAGAGGAGAAACCTGGTTGCTGTTCTCAATTACAAATTGAGAAACCTCTTGTTTGGAAATCCCAAGCAATGGAAGAGCAGAGGTTGAATCCTCCATCCCTGCTGTCCTGCAGGCAGTGCTGCTGTGTCCTCAGTGTCCATGCTCCAAGTGGCTGGGCACAGAGAGAGCTGAGGGAGCTGGTGTGAGCAATCACACTGCACGTTCAAGCCAACCATTGTGGTTGCCCTCCGTCATGGAAACTCCTCAAGTGTTTGTATCACCCTATGTGGTAGACAGGTCTACAATGATGCAGAAGGGGCCAGTTGTGCTTCCCCACCTTGTGCTGTCCTTGGGCCCGAGGAGCAGCAAGGCTGTGTGTGGTTGGTGGCTGTCAGGACCAGCTCCCCGCAGCGCTGTGCAGCTGGAAGGGGGGCCGTTACACTGTAAGAGAGTGAGTAGCACGTCTCACAGTGAACCGGTCTCTTTTCCTGCTGTGTCATGCCACTCCAAATGATTCCAGAGTAAGAGGGACAGAAGGAGAGCTGAGCTGGTGTATGTTGGGAGGGAGCAGGAATTGTGGTTGTCAAGGAGTCATTGCATTTCAAGGGAATAAACGATTCTAGTGTTTGAGAATTTATTTATTTATGTATTTCCTGTCTGTTTCTTTAGTGCACACCTTCCCTCATAGGGTATCTCAAACAGTAACTCCAGGCATTGCAGGGGGAGGTGGAAGGGTGGGTTTTGTTTTTCCAGACATGCCAGGTAGAACAAAACATTCATCATTCAATCTCAGTTTGGCAGAAACCCTTTAGAATGGCAAAGCAGATTCCTTGCAAAAGCCTTGATATGAAAGTCATTTAAGTTGCAAGTCAAGAGCCCGGACATGAGATGTGAACAAGACTTATGGGGTCATCCAGCTTGTTAACCTATCTCTGTAATGTGACTACTGGCAATTTTGTTCTACTCTCTCAAGCACTCAGGCAGACAAAGACACAGCAAACACAGCTATAACTAAGCAATTCCTTAATTTTTTTTTTTTAATACTGTTCTGCTTTCTAATAAAATTGGTGACATTTTGGTCGGTGTCAGTGGTGACTGACTGTGTCTGCTTTCATACCTTCATATTATACATTCTTGAGAGAGAAAAGGGTGAAGTATTGCACAAAGGTCATCTGTCTCCTCTAGCTTTTCCTGCCTGACAGTCTGGTACTATATTTATTATCTTTATATAGTGGATCCTTGAAGCAAAATGCAAATCAACTTAGATGACATAATCTAGATCTACTGTGTTGTTATAAAACCATATTTATCAGTTTAATGCTACATCTATAGCTAGTGGAAGTTATGGTAAGTCATATGCACAAGAGATGGTCTGAATTACGAGTGATGTTCTGGAGAAGATCCAGCTGCGTGAAAATCTTGGTTTTAAAGATACACTGTAATACAGGAGCTGTTCTGTGTGAGTGCAGACAATGCAGAGATGCTAATGCTTATTTTGTTTCAATGTTTACTGCATCATTTTCCTTACATGTTTGGAAAACATGAGTCAAGGAGTTTGTGTAAAATCTCTAGCGCATCAATCTTTCCCTGCAATCCACTCTTTCGGTTGCCTGCTCAGTATTTTATCTCTTGTTTAAAAATGAAAACATTGTGTCTACAGTTAAATCCTGCTGTGGCAATAATTTTAAGTGTTTAGCTATTCTCAGATATTGAGATATGTGTGAGAACAATTTTTCGATCTGGTTCATCCCTTTGGCCTCTGATACATCCTTTCCCCTAGTCACAGTCCAAGTGTGTGGTGTGACAGGAAGCAGATTGCAGTTCTCTGCAGAGCTTGTCTTATAGGTGGTGTAAGAATCGTTCAGATTGTAAAACTCTTGGTATTTGGGAAACAATTAGCTGTGTATGACCGGAAAATAGCAATCCACAAGGAAGTGTTTCAGACTTCCATTTTCCTTCCCACACAGACTTAGCTTCAGATCAGCACATGAGGGGCCAGGGATAACAAGGGGCTGGAACAAGAAGATATGATGGAAAATAGTGTTGGTGAAACAGAGTTTAGTATGGGAATACCGCGGATGGAAAGGGTGAACAGATGGGAAGGAGGCAGATGAAAAGATGATTTCTGAAATAGTTTCCCCAAAGACCTCACATCACTTGCTGCTGCTTTGGAGAAAGGATGGCTGTGGTGCAGGCAGGCCCATGGGAGCCCAGCTGGCTGCCTGGACCTGCCAGCTGGCTGCCATGGCAGGGTGAGCAAGGAGGCAACCTCAGCCTGGCAGCTCAGGAAATATTTTATTAAAATTGAAAGTTTGCCTGCCCGGGGGAGCCTTTGGAGGCTTTCAAAACAACAACAAGGAGTTCAGATCTTATTTCCTCTACTTTGGGAGGCAGAGGTCAAAGTTTGATTTAATATTAGCAACTTGTTTTTATTTTTGTTAGAAAAGGTCTCTTCAGGATGAAGTGATATTGATGACTTTTACAGCAAACAGCTTAAATGAAATGTCTACATAGCATCTGTGGTGGCTGAGTTAGCCTGTACTCTCTCATGGCTCTGGAAGGAGAGCAATATTGAGTTAAAATGGCTCCAGGGCAGAAAAAAGGATGAGCTCACCTAAAATTAGATTAGAACTCTTGGAGCAATAAATCATTTGGAGAGAACATTTTGTGTTTATTTACCTTTCTTATTTTTATTTGCCTGCCCAAGCACTGGCTTATGTGAGAACCTAAGAGACCCATTTCTGGCAGAAGCCTCGTACATTGTCCTCCATGAAGATATTTGTACAAACGTCTGCCCTTTGAATTATGTTCATTTCTGTTCAAGCCAAAATGTGGTATCACTGTAAACAGAAATACTTTTGTTTCACTCATGCCATTGTTGCTCTTCTTTGCTTTTTCTGCACCCTTTTCGTGTTCAGAGCTCCTCAGTGCGAAGGTTTTCAAAGTGTTGCCATTGGGTGGAGCCAGGGTTGAACTGGTGTCTGTTGCACCGTGGCACACATAGGACGTCATTCTTGAGGTGTGTTCAGGCAGGTATTCTCAAAAACAGTATGCTCATTTTTCAAACCATTTGGTGATGTTGCTGTTATCCATTTCTGGGCTCTGTAGCCGGTGATACTGTGATGTGCCCATTTTTGTAAGCACGTGGAAGAAAATATTATTTCTGTATTTGCATCTAGCAGTACTTGGCAAATTGCATGTCTGGCATCATCAGTATTTCATTCTCCAGTAATTATCTCTATTTTAATATACTGATCCTAGTTACTGTCTGAGTAGAAAAATAGAGCTGTATTGATGATAAATCAGTAATTATTTTCTCATTATAGAAGTAGGCAATGTGTTATTTTATATCTGTGTCTCTATTTTATTCCGTTTTAGCAAATGCTGAGCACTTAGAGGATTTTTCATCTCTGAAGTGCTTCATAAGTATGAGCTGGATAAATACATGAGGATTGTCTTCAGATATGCAACTGTTCTTATTGCTGTTCACAAATTAACAACCTGCAACAAATTACATTATTTTTTTTCTTCTCTGGTTCATTGTTGTATGTTTGCCTCATGTTCCCGATAATTTCAGAGTGCATCTGAAATTTTATGGATAAAACAATATTTATCTTCTTGCTTGGGCTTAGTTCTAAGAGGCTGTTATCTTGATTTATCACGCATATGTAAGGTAAAAGTCTGTGGAGTGTGTTTTGCCTCAGCAGTGAAAATAATCTTTTGAGGAGATTAAAGCAAAGATCTATAGTACTTTCATAGTAAGTTTTCCTGCCAAAACTTTACACTAAAATATTTCCAGACAAGATGTTATTTGACGTAATTTGTTGTTCTGTAATTCTGGAAACTAATGTAATGATTTTAGGATTTCTCATACATAAAAGAATCAACAAATAATGCCCTTATAACCTGTTTCAGGGTCCAGATATCATGAGAAGACTCAGAGAGCATAGGAAATCTCTCTGTTTTTTTTCCCTAAAAGGAATATATTTGTTTGTGTACGGTAGGCAAAGAAAGTCCTTATGTGAGGAAGGTATATATCTGAACAGTCTGAATGTACAATCCTTTCTTAATCAGTATTCATGGATCTTCTGTAAACAGCGTTTGTCTTGAATAAAAGGTTCCTGATGGAGAACAGTATTATAACCCTTTACAACTTCCCGTGAAGTACAAGAGGTAATTGTCTCTTTAATGCTTCTCTGAAACAAATTTTAAGTGAAGACAAAATGTACCCTAACAGAGTCCATATATTTGTTTAGGTACAAATCAGAGTCAAATGGACAATGAAATACTGAATTTATGCTTAATTTAATAATTTCACTGTCAGCATAATTGAAGAGTGTTAACTTCAAGGTTCTTTCATCCTCTTTGTCTTCTGAAAGCATTTGTCACTATAAACTTATACTTAGTGGGAAAAAAAATGTGGGAAGGGAAATGTGCAGCACTAAAAAAAATTTGTTTGTTATCATGGTCTTTAGAAAACCTTATAAAGAAAGATTGCTGCTTTCTACTTTCATTAGCCACCTGACAAGAGCTCATGGTCCATGATGGATTTGTTTGCATTATTCTGTCTATAATTTCACTGCTTATATAAACATAAGTTCAATTTTTAAGTAGCTAATTATCTGAAGAAAATATTTCTCTAACAGTAATTGCTTACTGCACTAAACAGATTTGTATGGAAGGTGTCCATCTGTGTTCAATACTATTTTTTTCAGCAGATACTGCTGCTCCTAAAAAGCATTGCAAGGGAAATGCAGCTCATTTTCACAGAGGCTTGACAGGAATGGGAGGGACAGAGCCCCACTGTACTAGATACTGAAGTGTATTGCCATGGCCATTAGTATTGATGGAAGGCTTTGAAATGTAAAAGAATTTTGTAAAATAGTAGGACCAGATCAAGAAGGAGTTTGCAGCAATTTCAGTTGGACTAAGTTCAAA